GTGTGTACACAGTAGTGATTCTACAATCACTACACATGCATTGTGTCGAATGTATGCATGGTTAGTGTTGTATTTGCGGGCAGTGGTGTGTTTGCGGGCAATGTTGCGTCTATTGGCAGTGCTCAATCTATGGGAAGTTTTAAGTCTATGGGAAGTTTTGAGTCTCAGCAGTTTTGAGTATATGGAAAGTGTTGAGTCTATGAGCAGTTTTGCGTCTATCGGCAGTGTTGAGTATATAGGCAGTGTGAGTCTATGGGCAGTGTTTAGTGTATGGGCAGTGTTTAGTATATGGGCAGTGTTGAGTCTTTGGCAGTGTTGAGTCTAGGGTAGTGCGAGCTTATGGACAGTGTTGTGTCTCTGGACAATCCGGAATTTAATCTATCGGCAGTGTTGAGTCTTTGGTAGAGTGTTGAGTATGGGCAGTGTTGAGTCTATGGATCATTCTCCAGGCGAGGGAGATACGATCTCGAGTTTCCACTGGCAAAGCAATGCATTCGAGAAACATTGAGGTCTTTCAATGGTACCCCTAGGCAATAAGCATTACTTCGTAAGACACACCATCCCAATGTGATGCATTGTAGCATATTAACATCCCCAAACACAATGGATCTTTGAATGTTTTTTTTTCCAGATCACAGTGGTATTAGGATTTCAACCAAGTAAAATAAGCGTATCACTTTAACAACGACAATTACCAACGAAAATCATGTTGAGCTTATGACAGCTTTAATACAAATGCGTCGACAACATACCAAAGGTCAATAAGTTACAAGTGATATTGCATTACAGTATCATGTTTAATATTCATATCGTTCCCCTATACTTAACGTTTCATTATCTAAAGGGACATATACAGTATAGGTTGTGAATTAAACATGCTTGAAGTATATGTGGTGCCACAACAGCGAAGCCGCTCCGTCGAAACCGGAGCCGTCGCTGTGCTGCTGCGACCGAGAAGCCACCCGGCTCCCATCACAGCACTTCCCCCCCCCCCCCCCAAATAAAAACACACACACACACACACTCAAGTAGGGCCTCATGGGGAGGGGAGGGGGGCACCTGCCCTGAGTTTTTACCCGAGAGGCCCCCTCGTGGGGGTGCTCCACGGTTTCTCAGGGTCAGGGAATTGGCAGGCACCCCCCCCCCCAGGCCAAATGGCACTGCGGCGCCGTGGCTTAACTTAGAATTAAATGACCACGGCGAACTCACTGAGAACCGCAGTGAGGAGATGCTCAAGACACACACGGACCAGCAGACAGGTGGGGAGAGGGGCAGCGTGGGTTAAGCGTCTCTACCCATGATGCACCGCGGATTAACGGCCCTACCCATGATGCACCGCGGATTAACGGCCTGACCCGTGATGCACCGCGGATGGGCGCTGCGAGGGCTTTGAAAGGAGCATAAAAAGGGACGCTTTGGGGAAGCAAGGGGCCATTTTTTTATTTGACTGGAGATCAACAGGAGGGAGGGATCGGGGAGCCGTCACCTGACTGTTACTCGCATGTCCGTGAGACGGGGCAGAGAACAGCCAGATTCTGTTTACAGCATCATCTATCCGCGACCTCTATCGCTGCGAGGTCGGACCGTAAGTACGAGGGAGAGAGGTAAGACAAAGGGACGAAATTCGGAGAGGAAATAGAGGGCAGACAGGTCCATTAAGTATCAGGCAGTAGCGAGATAGGTTAGACCTGTCCTGCTGGTCCGTACTGACACACACAGTCTAGTTCGATACTCGCGGGGAATAAAACCACTAATAGGATAAAGCTGTGTCGTGGTCACTGTGAGTGCGAGGAGGGAGACGGAGTGTTTGGTGTTCGCATACCGGTACGAGTGTGTACAGAGTGTTTTGTGTTCGCGCGCATACGCGGCTGTTTGCAGCGAATAAGGGAGTAGAACGTGCTTAGTGTCCGTACCTGTACGATCGTTTACAGTATTGTTCAGCGCGTGCGTACCTACACGAATATCTTCGGTGGTGCCCAGCGCTCGTGTACCTGGGAAATAGCCTACAGTAGCGCTTTGCGCTCGCGCGCCTGTGTGACGGGGTGGCGGGCGCGCACTCGCGCTATTGTCTAATAGCGAATTAAGCGCCTGGCGTGTGCAAATACGCAGCTGTGTAAACAGCCCGTTAAATCGGAGCAAAGTAATTGCGGCGTGTTTGTTTTTGCTTAAGCGCGTGGAGCGTGGGTGGGAGGGAATCCCACGGGGGCGCGCCGCGCCTGTTTATTCCCCGTGCAGGACGGGGTTTTACTTTGCGAGCGCGCTCACCGCGACACGCCGCCGTTGAACAGGGTAGCGCATCGCGAGCGCAAAGCGTATGAGCCGCTAATTAAACTACGCAAACGCGGTCGACATCCCAGGCAGAGGTACAGGGGGGCGAGGCATTAGGGGTCGGTAGTCTGGACCTGACAGAGCAGCCGGGGAGGTAGCGGTATGAATGGAACGCGGGAGTCGGTGGGCAACGGCCCCGACAATCCAGTGATGGCGGGGGACGGTAGCCCCCACATATATACGGCAAGTCCGGCCTTAACGTGAGTTGTTCACACAATTCGTTTTCACTATAACACGGCTTTATTCCAGAAGACAACACTTTTTGCACAAGGCGATATGCTCCCTTTATAATGCAGAATTCGTGATGTTATAACCCGAAAAGACGGAGTAAGGTGGCGGATGGCGAATGTCTGCAGTTTGGTTCAACTTTGCCTTGGCACCTTCCAGCCTACTTGACCAAGCTAGGCCACAGCCTGAAGTACACAGTCCTCGACTTACGAACACCCACTTACGAACCAGCATCCATGAAACATTTTGACATTGACTTAAAACACTAACTCGCACTTGCAAACTGAACTATTTTGTTCAGAGAAGCAATCCTCCTGGACATGTAATGAGTCAGCCTTGTGTTGGGAGTATGTGTCTGCACGCACGCACGTGTGGGTGTGTGTGAAGTGTGAAAGTTTGAGTGTGTGGGGAACGGTAGTGGTTAGCACGCTGTGCTATGAAAACGGTGACCCGAGTTCAATTTCCTGCTCACGGCCAACACCAGTGACGATTATCTGAACCGGTTCTGGGCCTCCCCTAAGTAGACTCAGCCTCAAATGAGTACCTGGTGTGGTGTGTAAACATCGCCACTGGGGAAACAAAGCTCGCCAGGCATGGTGTTGGCCACTCACTGCATTTTGTACCGTGTCGGCCTTCATCGGCACCTTTCGCAAATGGCACTTGCCTCAACAGCCTTTTAAGGCCATACGAGTGATAATTGATCCTTATGGCGGTACCCCGGGGTACCAAATAACATAAAATGGCCGAGGCGATTAAATAATTTATTTCCGGGACACTATTTTTGTTCCAGGGGTGTTACTTCACTCTGCGACTGGGGTACCAATCAATCCGAAATGAGTGCCACACTCCGCGATGGTGAAATGCAACGAGGACGATGATTGCGCTGAAACCCTGAATGCTCGCAAGCACCGTAGTGGTGCATCGTGTACAGCTCATTGAGACGAGTCGATTGCCGCATCGCCGACCATCAACAGACTAAACAACAACAACTACCATTTGCCACTAAGTGGCGGTGACGTCACCACGACGCTTGTGCAAGGCCATGTGCACCTTGAGGCCACGTCAAGTGTCGAACGCCCGCTGGCAGGTCACGGGGCAGACCCAAGTCCCACGGGTCGACTAAGATGACTGAGATGACTGGCTGATGCACCACCTGTGCCCCCTACTGTGCCAACCTGCTGTGCTTTAGCCACCCGGCGCTCCGCTCGTTGTTGTGAGCATCGCTCCTCCGCCCTCCGTTGTTGTTGGAGGGTGACTGCTTCCAACTGCTCAGTAGCATCCTTCACGAGCCTCCTCCACAGAGGCCGATCTTGACACCGCTGGTACCAGTCATCGGCAAGTCCACTCAGCTCCACGTCCACCTGTACCACATCACTCCATCTCTTCTCTAGCCCGTGCCGTGCCCATTTAGCCCCCTCGATCCGACCGAACAAAAGCTGTTTCGGCATGCGGTGGCTGGGCATGTGGGCTACATGACCCAGTCAACGCAGCCTTGCCTGCCGGAGGAGCTCACCGATGGGACCTTGCCCAGATCATTTCAAAGATTTGTGAGCTCATACAATCCAGCCTGGTTAAACCCAGGATGGATCGTAGGCAGGCTAGCCTAAATGTTTCTAACCGGCGAAGATGTTCCATGAGGGAGGTCACCGTTTCGCAAGCATAGAGAAGGGAGGGAATGACTGTGGCCGAGATGACCTGAAGCTTAGTGCGGAGCGACAGACGAGGTAGCTTCCACACAGCGTTACGCAACCGATGAAAAGATTGCCTCTCGCCTGATTCGGAGTGAGACCTCTGCTGTTAAACTGGAGCCGGTCATAAGCACATTGCCCAGGTATGGAAAACTCTCCACTCTCTCCACAACTGCCCCATCACCGATTGGGAGTTGTGGGGGTGGAGTGTCCGATGGTACAAAATACCCAGGCAGGTGCTTAGTTTTGGTGGGGCTGATGGTAAGGCCCCACCTCTTAGTGGCACGCTCCAGTCTCAGCAGCAGCGTCTCCAACTCCTCCTCTGAATGAGCAGCTATTACCAAATCATCGGCAAACATAACGTGGTTGAGCAATAGGGAGCCATCCCTTGACCGCACACGGGCATCGATCAGCCTCCCATTATATCTGTACCAAATGGAGATTTCCCCGGTACATCTATTGAAGACTTCACGAACTACGTGGCCAAAATAGATGTTAAATAATGTGGGAGCAAGAGGACATCCCTGTCGCACCCCAAGGTGTACAGGGAATGGCTCTGACTCCCGGCCACGTAGTTTTACCCGGGCCCGCTCACCATCATGAAGGTCCTTAATGATCGTGAGCAGAGGGTCACGGACTCCAAAAGCACGAAGAACAACCCAGAGCCCAGGCCTACTGATGGTATCATAGGCCTTGGCCAGGTCAATAAAGCAGAGATGTAGGTCTCAAACTAAACACGACTGCATCACGGACATTATGCGAGAGCCGGGGTTGCCCACAGGTAACTGCCATAAGGTTCACTTGTCATTGGTGTCTGTGCGTGTGTGCGTGCCTCCTTGTGTGTCTGCGTGTGTGCAATTGTGATGAGTCATTGCCCCTATGCCAACAAGCAAGCCAGCATCAGCACTCAAGTCAAAATAAAACAGATTTTCTTTTTCTATTCATGTTACTTTATTTTATTTCCTGTGCAGTATTTTTTTTACCATTGCTACTAATGCATGTACAATATTATTTTTTTAATTATGAGATTAACGTTTCCCTGTTGAACCGTAACACATTCAATAACACTGACTGTATGATCATTTAAATACGGTATATTATTGTGTTCCCACTGACGAACTAATTATTCATAATTATAAGTAAAATTTGCCACTGAGCTAAGCTATTTCTCAAGGGTGAATCAGCCGGCTGACAATATCAAATCATTCCACAATTACAGATTTTTTAAAGTGCAATTACGTTGTAAAATCACATTCACACTTGAACTTTATATAATTCCTTGGATTAAATAATACTTTTTTATTTCCAAACATTAACATTAATCTTTATGCGGGTTATTAGTTCATGAATTGTGCTGTATATTGCAGTTCAGTATGGTAAGTCCTTGCTTAACGCGTGATGTTCGCACACCAACGTAGTTCTTTCCAACACTTTTCTCACAACGCGAAACGCGCACCGCTAAAACGCAGTTTTCGAGTGGTCGATGACGAACTCCTTTGTTGAGCTGCATGGCTGAGTAGTAGAGTGATACAGTACACAAAACGATTCAGTAACAGAGCAGCCTACCCTTAGTTATTTGTGTGCGTGCGTAGTATTTCACAAAACTTTGTCGTTACATTGTTTATGAGGAAATAGTTTTGGCCCAACACGTCATTTTCAGGGAGGCACATACTCCTGCGTTAAGCTGGGACTCACTGTACTTACATTTATTTCACTCATTGATTACAATGAGGCCGTACATTCTTTGCAAATCGCGTTCCACTTGTTCCTTGGTAATAGATTTCCATCCTCTCGGTATGTCTGCCGGCTGGGCGACTGCACGCTCAGCGAACTGTTCATTGAACTTGCAGAATACGAATCTCCAGAAGAGTGGGGCCTCTAGTGTGGAACTTTCCGGAATATCCCAAGAGCCGTAGTATTCATTCACATTGCGGTAGTCTGCATAACGAACGATTTTGCTGTTAGTGTCAACGTTGGAAAACGTATGTACTTTGAAAAAGAACAAGAATCTCTTTGCAACAGAGGTGGTGCACACTTCGACGGACAGCTTTTTGCGCGAGTCCCACTTTTGGCCGCAGAGGCCTTGAGGGTAGTGCAACGTCGCCCGATGCTCCCTGTGCTCTCCACCACCCTGGTCGCATGGTGCCTTGCACAGGGGACAGGCGTTGCCGCATCCGGCCAACAGCTTAAAGAGCTCTCCATGCGGCTGCACGGTCAGTCTGTCCAATTTCCCCTCAATGTCGTAGGACTTCTCGAAGTCGATGGCGACCTCGCGGCTCACTCGATCGATGCCTCCGTCTAGCGACTCGCAAAACCGTTTGGCACTGTTAGAGTCTTGGAGCATGAACGGGCCGATGATGTCGAGGGCGTACGTTTTCATGACAATGTCGCCCGCCAGGGATAGCTTTAGCTTTTGCAAAAGGTCAGAAACCTTCACCGGAGTGGATTCCCTCAGGAGAGATGACACGACTCTCTTTGCTCGTTCCGATTTTTCGAACAAGATACTTTTTGTCAGATAGAAAATATCTTCTCTGTTTTGTTCGCAGTAACTCACAACATGCTCCCTTATCCACGTTGTCGTAAACTCTTTGTAATCGCTTAAGAATCCGTGATATAAGTCAAAATTATCTTTCTCCAGTAAATCGGATAAGAGAGAATGTTGGAGGTTTTTACGATCGAATAACTTGATACATTTTCTTTTGATATATTCCACAATCTTTGGACCTAATTCTTGGTCTATGACTTCTTTCAAAGCAGGCTTGAGGCATTGATCGCAAAAGACCATTGCAATGTTTCGTGTTTCATCGCCAGTCTTATACATTTCCGCAAATACACTGTGATATTTCTCCTTCATTGCTGGAAGTTGATTCCATGGGTTGTTTTTCTCAACAAACTCTTCATGTTGATGTACGAATGGACCAATGGCAATTGCACAAATATGAAGCTTGATGTCCACGACAAAGTGTTTGCCAAAAGGAATTTTCTGTTTAGTTCCTCTCTGCAGTTGAGAATCTACGATTGTGAAAAGCTCATCCCAATAAGTAGGGAGGTAATCATTGTTTGACTTTTTCTTGGTTTCTATCAAATCTTTGCATTCCTTAATTATGTTATAGGACAAATCATACAGCTCTGATGGTATGTGGCTAATTTGCAGAGAAGACCCCGTTCTCATAAACCAGCCTTCTATGTGCTCATTTTTCACCTGGAAATTATGCTTCTGCGTGCATAAGATGGACGGATCGCGTAGCTTTTCATTCACCAATGCTTTATAGCGCTGTGTATTATGGCAAAGCCGTTGCTGCATGTCTTCCTTCACATTGCGCCTCCTTATGGATTCTTTCGGAAGCTTTGAAACCGTTCTTGACCACATTTCCTCGAATTCCTTCTCAATTTCTTCGTCAGTCAAATTAGTTTTGCCAAATTTGCATTTCTCCAGAATATCGTTCACGCTTTGCGAGATGGTCTTCCTGTACTGGTCCTGCAAAGTGTCCAAAGCGAGGAGACATTCCCTCTTACAGACGGTTTCCTCGCACTTGTCAAGAGCTTCGGTAAGTATTTGCTCAGCCAGACGCTTGGTGCTAATGTTGAAATCCTCTTTGTATTTCACAATGAGGTGAGCGTCTTCAGAAGGTTTTGAAAATAAATCCTCTACATGCTGTAAAAGCAGTGTCTTGTGATTGTTGACTTCTTCCCTTCCTTTCTGTTGTAACCTCTCATGCGCATCATGCAGCTTGTCCGGTACCGTGTTCATTATGGTGTTCTGTGCAAGTTGTGTCCAGGAAAGGAGATTTCTACGAAACTTCCACTCCCAATCTGCATATGTCGTACACAGTTTGTTATATGCCTCAATGACCAATATGTTTCTGAAGCTAAAGATGAACGTTTCCTTTTTTACTGAGTCCCATACCGTCGACATCCACTGTCCGAACTCGGATAAGCTACAGGGTTTCTTCAACTTTAGTTTTTCTTCGAAGATGTGAGCCTTAAGTTGAAATACTTGTTCAGTATATCCATAACTAACAGGAGACATGGCAGAACAGCCAAACCAAAGTCCAGGAATGAACCAGTTGTCTTTGTTCATATCGTGTGCTATGACGTCGGTAAATTTGTTGTAGTACTTATCTTTGTGCTCCATTTTCGCTGCTGCTTTCGTCATCTTGTCCAGTTGATCCAGCAGATATTTCTGATCGTTGAGAGTCTTGGCCATTGCAGATACGCTATTAAAATTCTGATGAACGAATAGGCAGTGTGGCTTTTTGCCGGCCTCTCTCATCCGTAAAAATGAATGGACAACAACCTGCAGTACGTCTTTCATCTCTTCCGCATTTTCCGTGGCCAAGTTAACAATGGCGACGTCACTCAGGGCAATTACCACTGTGGCTAGCTCATTATCGCGCTCACAGCTGTCATCGAGATTTGCGAGCTGCGGCGCCTTCAGCCCTTCTGTGTCGATTACCAGCAGGAAGTCAAAGCCGAGCTCTCGCTGCAAGTTGTCATCAACATGGAGCAGCTGCACGAAAGCGCCACGAGTGCATCGACCGCTGCCCACGGCGAACTGCAGGCCGAACATGACGTTGAGGAGTGTTGACTTCCCCGAGCTCTGCACCCCCAGCACAGACACGACGAAGACTCGGGGGTCACCGCCCAGCTGGGTGCGTACTTCGGCAAGTACGTCCATCACCCAGTCAATGGGAATGCAGCCAGTATCTCCGTCGAGGAGCTCCATGGGGAAGCCATTTATGAGCAACTGAGCCATGACCGATGGAAGCCTCAGGAATTGAGGATTGCTTCTGCTTGCTTTGGAAGCCTCGTATATCTGCTCAAGTTCGCGCATGAAGTGCTCTAGACCCACCGGGGAGTTAGCAATCTTTGCATTGGTTTGTTTAAGCGCTTCTTTGTCATGGTTTGGGTCAAAGCAGAGCTCCTTGAATTTTTCTTCCAAAGGAACGATAATGTTGCTTGACAATGCATCGAGCTTCATTTTCATTCGCTGCAGGAACAACACTTTTTTGTCCACAGAAAGTTCGAGGCACGCCGAGATGAATGAGTCCACCACATCGGGAAGTTCCACTTTCGCCTGCTCGTTGCGGATTTGAATTTTATGTTCACTCAGTTGTGCAATGTACTCATTGATGTCCACATCTCCTCTATGTCTCAAGCGATTCATCTCCTTGTCCTTTCTTGACCATTCCTGCCAGAAAACCCCCTGAGCAGCTAGCAACGTCGCTTTTACAGATTCCTTATCCTTCATTTCAATCTCGCTGACAATCCAGTCGGCCACAGTCACGGATGCCTGGCAGTCGCTACAAACTTCGTCGGTCATGATGCATAATTTTGGGTCAGTTTGAGACATGTTTTCCAAATTTTTCGATGCCTTGCTGTATCTCAGCACGCCGTCGATGCTGCCATTCATATTTTTCAAAAACACGGTCTGATTTTGATTGCCCCAGATGTGAACATTTTGGTTTTTCAATTTCAGTTCAGTCAAAATCCTCCTGACACTCCCCTCAGTTTGGCTTTGGTGCTTCACATCAGGATTAATCACGAGAAAGACGTTTGAATTGGGATCGAAGCTCGAGGTTAAAAAGTCGCAATCTCTTTTGCCAATGTTGTCCACAACAACGAACACCGCGGCCGAGTTCGATTTCAAAAATTGGAACTGAGCCAGGCTGTTGCGCATGTCACCATGGAGATTCGCCACCGCGAATATCTCCGGGAAGACGTCGATGGTCGATTCCCCACATGGCAGGTGAAAGCAAACTTCGACGAGGCCATTGGAAATCCTTCGGGGAAATTTTCCGCATTCCATGTCCCGGTGCACGAAGAAATTGTGTGGCTCCTTGCAGACAATGGAGTTGATGATCGATGATTTAGAGACCCCGCACTCTCCAATTCGCACAAAAGAGATCATTGGCATCGCTGTAGTGACAATCGCTTGCTCAATGTAACCTTTACTCTCCTCTTTAGAATGTGGTCTCCATTTGTGAACCACTGCCCTCATGGCCCAGAGCAGGAAGGTGATGCTGCCCTGACTCACGTCGGGCAGCAAGAGAGGCAACGCGAACTGACACAGAGACATCTTGACCATGAGTGTCTGCTGCAAGAGGCTGTCTGAACAGAGGAATACTGCGGTTATCAAGTCCAGGATGGTGACGGAGTACACTTCTGGATCAAGCACGCTACCCAGAGAGAACTCTTCTTCATCGTTTGCATAAGAACGATATATAGGCGTGGTTCCTTGACTTAAACTGTATTCAGTGTTTCTAGATTTCCCGTTTGCCCTCATTACATTGTACAGGAAATGCATGGGGAGTTCGTTCAAAGACGTGGGGTTTTTTCTGAAAATAGAAGCTCTGGTTATCTTTAAAACAGAGTTGAGTGTCAATTTTTGAGGGTAGAACTCAGTCAAACCCAAATCACTTAACATGGCATCGAAATCACTTTTTATTTTAACATCAACTTCTTTTGGCGTTTGCGAATCGGCGTTAGCACGGAGGTGACAGGATGAGCCATCTCCTCCTTCGTCTTGACAGCTGTAACAAACAACGAACACAAAAGTCAGGACATATAGGGTTATTGTTATACAGGTGGCCCAAAGATCAGGACAAATTGGGTTAGTGTAATACAGTGTGGCCCAAAAGTCAGGCAACATGGTTATTATTTTACAGGGTGGCCAAAAAGTCAGGACACATAGGGTAGTTATTATACAGGGTGGCAAAAAAGTCAGGACACAAAGGGTTATTGTTATACAGGGTGGCCCAAATGCCAGGACACATAAGGTTATTGTTATACAGGGTGGCCCAAAAGTCAGGACACATAGGGTTATTGTTATACAAGGCGGCCCACAAGTCCAGCACATAGGGTTGTTAGAATACAGAGTGGCCCAAAAGTCAGGACACATAGGGTTGTTATTATATAGGGTGGCCCAAAAGTATGGACACATATGGTTGTTATTATACAGGGTGACCCAACAGTCAGGAAAATAGGGTGTTTTCTTATACAGGGTGGCCCAAAGGTCAGGGTACATAGGGTTATTATATAGAGAGTGACCCAAAAGTCAGGACAAATAGGGTTATTATACAGGGTAGCCCAAAAGTCAGTAAACAGATGGTTATTCTTATACAGGGTAGCCCAAATGTCAGAACACATAGGGTTATTTTTATACAGGGTGGCCCAAAAGTCAACACACATAGGGTTATGATACAGGGTGGTGCAAAAGTCAGGATACATATGGTTACTATTTTACAGGGTGGCTCAAAAGTCAGGACATATAGGGACGTTATTATACAGGGTGGCAAAAAAGTCAGGACACATAGGGTTGTTATTATACAGGGTGACCCAATAGTCAAGACACATATGGTGTGTTTTATACAGGGCGGCCCAAAGGTCAGGACAAATAGGGTTATTATACAGGGTAGCCCAAAAGTCAGTACATAGATGGTTATTAATATACAGGATAGCTAAAAAGTCAAAACACATAGGGTCATTGTTATTCAAGTTGGCCCAAAAGTCAGGACACATATGGAAACGTCGTGAGAATATTATTGTGTTATTTTATTTTATCAATTTATTATTTTGTTCTCATTCTACGTGACTTTACCGAAAGAACCAAAGAAGACATATGGTTATTGTTATACAGGGTGACCCAACAGTAAGGACACATAGGTTTATTATACAGGATAGCACAAAATTCATGACACATCGGGTGGGAATTATACAGGGTGACCAAAAAGTCAGAACACAGTACTATACAGGTCAGGGCACATAGTTTTATTGTTGTACAAAGTAGCCCAAAAGTCAGGATACATAGAGTTATTATTATACAGAGTGACCAAAAAGTAAGGACATATAGGGTTATTGTTATACAGGGCGGTTCAAAAGTCAGGACACATATGTTATTGCCATATAGGATCACCCAAAAGTATGACACAATGGTGGTTATTATACAGGGTAGCCAAAAAGTCAGGACACATAGCGTCGTGATTTTGCAGGGTTGCCCAAAAGTCAGCACACATAGGGTTATATAGAGTGTGACCACAAAGTAAGAACAAATAGTTATTATTATACAGGGTGGCCTAAAAGTCAGGACGCATATGGTTATTGTTTTACAGGGTGGCCCAAAAGTGAGGAAACACTTATTATATAGGGTGGCACAAAAGTCAGCACACAGGTTTATTATACAGGAAGGCTCAAAAGGAAGGGCACATAGGGTGGTTATTTTACAGGGTAGCCCAAAAGTCAGGACACATAGGTTTATTATACAGGATGGCACAAAATTCAGGACACATAGGGTAGGAATTATACAGGGTGACCAAAAAGTCAGGACACAGAGTTAGTATTATACAGGTCAGGACACGTAGTTTTATTGTTGTGTAGTGACATTGGGGGTGTCACTGTATGGTGCCGTCCCAGAAAAGCCGCACTGTTCGATGTTCCTACATCGTGGACAGCACCGTGTGGGTGGCTGTGTGTAATACCAGCCTTAGCGGGGCTTGGTGAGCACTGGGATAGTGCGGGCACCACGCACAGTATGTGGTGGGGGCTCTCACGAGGGGGAGTGGGTGAGTGTCAGCCCAGGGGCAGGGTTGCCCCTGGCCATGGCACTCTGGTTGATCCCATAGACACGTGATCCAGAATGTCCACACAGGGGGCCCCAGGTGGGGGGGTTAGTGGGTGATCACATGTCCAGGGAGAGCTCTTGAGAGGGATTGATAGGGAACGAGAATGCTCGAGAAGGCGGGTGGGGCCCAGGGCGGAGCGACCCCGACCATAGGGGGATATAAGACGGGTCCCTGGGAGGGACCGGGGTCTCTTAATTTTACAAGCTGGAAGCTCGCCGTCTCAAGCTGAAAGCTCTTCGTCCTACGAAGAACCACGTAGTCAGAGACCCGAGTCAGGGTCCGAACCTTCGTAGCAGTAACTCCTCTGTATAGTGTAGTTAGCTGGGTGGTCACCACCCTAGGTTGTATCTGGTAAAGGGGCAGTTACCCCTTTGTGTTACGGCGTTACAAATATGTTACCTCTAAAAGGAACAATGTCTGCGACTCAGTTGGACTCACTACAGTTGTACAATGTAGCCCAAAAGTGAGCACACATAGGGTTATTATTATACAGGGTGGCCCAAAAGTAAGTACAGATAGGGTTATTAGTATACAGGGTGGCCTACAAGTTAAGAAACAGGCATATTACATAGGGTGGCCTAAAATTAAGGACACATAAGATAATTGTTATACAGGGTGGCCCAAAATTGAGGAAACATAGGGTGGAAATTATACAGGGGGACCAAAATGCCAGGACACAGAGTTAAGGTGGCCCAATGGGTGGCCCATACCTCAGGGTACATAAGTGTAGTGGCATCGCGGGATGTCAATGTGCAGTGCCAGCCCGAGAGAGACACGGCGTGCGGTGTAACGACATCGCGGGTACCACAATGGTGTGGGTGTAGTACCGGCCCTAGAAGGACATGGTGAGTGCTGATTGATAGCGCTAGATGGCACCACGCTTTGTGTGCAGTGCCAACCCTACAGGACAGGGTGTGTGAGTGCGCGGTCGGTGGCCGTCATTTTGCTGGATGCAGAGCGACCAACGGCCGCTATTTTGGAACTGGTGTGGGAGGCTGCAGAGACAGCGCCAACTCCTGCGGTGAGGCGGGGTGCCGCCGATTGACCACGAAGGCTACCCCCGGTGAAGTTCACAGCAGCAAGGGGAGATTGGAGTGCCTTCACCCGCCAGTTTGAGGCAGCATACCGATCTGTCGACTGGACGGAGGAGGAGGCATTGCGGGCCTTGCCTACGGCTCTGGATGATGACGGCCTGGCAGCACTTTGGGCCATCCCTGCAGAGAAAAGAGCTGCGCTGCAGGAGGCGTACAGAGAAATGGCCGCTGTATATGACCCACAATCAGCCACGCGAGGAAAGTTTCTCCAGTGGTGTCGAGGGGACGCCGAGACACCCCTCACCTACCGCGGTGCGCTGAAGGCATTGGGGCTGGCGGCCTACCCGCGGTTAGATCAAGTGGTGCTCGACTCCCTCGTTATGGAGAAGATGTTGGAGTTGGCTTCAGAGATGGGTGTCGTGCTGCCGGTGATAGACTTAGAGGCTCAGACATCCTTGTGGGCCGCCCGGTTTCTGCAAGCGTATGAAACGCTGCGGAAGCAGACCAGAGTGGCCGTGTGGACAGGGAAGCTGTGGCCGGGAGACGGGTCGCTCGGCCGACCATCACGGGGGCATTGAGGAGCCAACGGAGGATGGCGCCGAATCTATGGTGGAGGTGTCAGCGGCGATTTGGGGATGGGTGCAGCCGCGAGGAGACATGCCGCGATGGAACCGAGAGTGGTGATCCCGGGTCGGGGCGATGCCATCATCGCGAGTGGCCAGGGCCGCCTGTTTCCGTTGCAGCCAACTTTGCCACTTCATGCGGGGATGCCAAAATGCTGCTCGGACATTGACGGGGTCTTGCACGTCCACCACCTCATTGTGTTCCGTATTGTTGAGGATACGGTCGGCCAATCTTAAATTGAAGCCAGCGAAGTGCCACCTGTTGCAAGCCTCTGTGCGGTATTTGGGCCACATCGTGAGCGATTCCGGAATAGTGATGGACCCCAACAAAACGGCGTGTGTGCGCAACTGGCCGACTCTTCAGTCAGTGGGGGAGGTGCGGAGTTTTGTCGGTTTCGTGTCCTATTACCGAAGGTTCGTTCCGTAGTTCGCGACAATCGCTAAGCCTCTCAATGCTTTGATGGCTAAAGGCCAGAAATATAGGTGGGAAGAGGGGGAGGAGGCCGCTTTTGTCACAATGCGTGAGAGCCTTGCCAATGCGCCTTCCCTGGTGTATCCGGATTTTTCCCTGTCATTCATCTTGGATACTGATGCCAGTGACACGGGCATAGGGGCTGTCCTGTCACAGGTTAAGAATGGCGTTGAAAGGGTGGTTGCGTATGGGAGCCGCGTCCTGTCATCCGCAGAACAGCGTTACTGCATAACCAGAAGGGAACTCTTGGCGATGGTGCACTTTGTGCAACAATACAGACCCAACTGTATGGGAGGGACTTCGTGGTCTGTATGGACCACGCGGCCCTCGAATAATCCTTGCGAGTGGATCAACCCTCGGGCCAACTTTCACGTTGGTTGGAAATATTACAGGAATATTCATTCTGGGTGGTTTACCAGAAAGGGTTACGCCACAATAATGCGGACCCACTGTCGTGATTGCCGAGAGGATAAAGTTGTGCTTGCTCGACGGGCGAGGGTCGATGTAGGCCATAGGACGCGAAGCCACCCGAGGTGGTGGCATTGGTGGAGAGCGCAGCACCGGTTGGTGACGTCTTGCCAGTAGATAGAATGCTGGGCCTCACGCTTGCCGAATGGGGTCGGTTGCAAATGGAGGACATGTCCTTGTTACAAGTTCGGTGGCGTGCGGAGTGGGAACGGACGAACTCTAGCCTGGCGAAGGTCTCGAAAATCGTGCTGAGGAACAGGCTGCAACGCTATTGCCTGGTGGTTCCCACAGTTCTTCAGAGTGCATTGACTCGGGTGGTACATGAAACCAAGTTGTTACACCTTGGTGTTCGTAAAACGTTACTAATGCTGCAAAGGGATTTGTTCTGGCCGGGCATGTCAGATGATGTGTACCACCTCGTTAAGGGCTGCACCGCTTGCGCGCACGTCGGAAACCGCCAGTCAGAAAGTGTCAACCCCCCTTGCAGTCCATCATGGTGTCATGGATTAGCGAGCTGTTCGCGCTCGGCATTTTTGGGCCTTTTCCCCCAACGCAAAGGGGTAATAAGTTCCTTCTGGTCGGGGTATAGTACTTCTCCCAGTGGCCGGTAGCTTGGCTCCCACCCGACCAGACGGCAGTGTCTATAGCGGACACCTTTTTGCACGTGTACATGCTGGATAAAGCGGCTCCCAAACAGCTCCTAACAGACCAGGGCAATAATTTTTCGTCAAAATTGTTATGTGAGGTGTGTGACGTGCTAGGCACAAAGAAGATCCGGACATCGCCTTACCACCCTCAGACGGATAGCATGGTGGAACGCCTTCACAAAACCCTGACGTCGATGCTTTGCCAAGCTGTCGATGGGGCGCGGACGAATTAGAACCTACATGTCCTTAGGGTCCTAGCAGCTTATAGGACGCCTCTGCATTGGGTCTGACCCCCGGTAGGAAGAAGCAGTCTCTGCCGGTGGCCTTACAGGTCATGCTGGACCGAATCTCTAACGCAGGCTGCTAACGAAAGGAACGTGCACCATCACAAGAATGTGTTGCCGTGGGTGGTAGCAGATAGAGCGTGGCTGCACTGCCCCAAGTTGCACCGACCATGGCAACGACCAGTGGAAATCGTTGAGGTTAGATGGCCATAATGTGTGCGTGTACAGGTAGGGTGTCGCCGCTGGTTTGTTCACGCGTCACGTTTAAAGCCGTATGTGCATCCCCGATTTGAGAATTCATACCCAGAGTCTATGTGGTCGGGGTTTGATGTGTCGGATGGGCCAGGGCGGTTGGCCAAAGTAATCGGACGCCGGGTAAATGGTGTGTTCCGTCCGCAGTTTTCAAGCCCCTGACGTTGGGGGAATCTCGAGGGCCCTCCACACTTAAGGGAACACCGGGCAGAGGACCTGCCAACTTCTCCCGGGCCAGCCACTGAGGACTTTGACCCCTCCGTTCCGATGGCTGAGCCATCGTTGGCCGACGGCAGCCATATTCCCACCCGACACGGGCCGGCATCGAGGACTTAGTCAAGGGGGTTGACATTCCGTTGACGGGTCGCCCTTATTTTTGTGTCCGTGGCTGGGCGTGGTCGCGGGGGTTGTGTGCGTGTGTTGTTCGGGGTTGGCGATATTATTGTGTTACGGGTTTTGTTGCGGAAGTTCACATTGGGTTTCTGAAGTATAGGTCGTTCCTTCAACCCCTAAACAATTGTTACGTGTTGTGTTATATGGTTGATTCGGCCTAAAAATAAATTGTTGAAATTGTGTTAGCCGAGGACGGCTATTTTTTTAAGAGGGGGGGGTGATGTAATGACAGTGTGGAGCATAGTGGGACAGTATGGTTCCCCGGGATCATGGTTACTAATGGATGAGCTAATGATGATTAATGAGACAAGCATTGACAGGGTCACGTGAGGGGGAGCACGGGATCCAATGGCGGGAAAGTGTAATAAGGGCGGTGATCGGCAGGGCCAGGTGTGGTGAGGAGAATTCGGGAATAAGGTCGTGGCCAGACCAGGCGAGGATAAGTAGCAGCGCGAGCGAAGGCTTGGGGCTGCTTGGTGTGGGGAACTGCTGTCATCGTTGCCTTGGATTGGGTCGTCTCCATCGTCTGCAAGTTGTCTTGAGACTGGAAGCTATGTTGTCTCAGAAAAGAGTTGTGTCAATACCCAAGTGTAAGGAGTTACTCTCGGTTATGGGTTGAGTTGTCATTGGACTTTACTCTTAATAAATATACAGAAGACAAGACGGTGTCTCTGAGAGCTAAACATGCAACATAGCAGTATTAACCACTGCACCACCACTCCCAGCTCACACAGACACAGTGTGCTAACCACTTCATCACCGCTCCACACGTACAGATTGCGCTAATCGTTGCACCACCGCTCCCCGCTCACACACAGGGCACCAATCACTGCGCCATCGCTCCCCACTACCACACACATACAGTGCACTAACCGCTGTACCACCGCTCCCCACACACACACACATCGTGTCGTAACCACTGCGCCACCGCTCCCCACAGACACACAGTGTCCTAACCACTGTGCCACCGCTCCCCACAGACACACACAAAGTGCGCTAACCGCTACGCCACTGCTCGCTGCCTTTTTTCGGCAAAAGCAATGATTTGGCAACAGAAGCAACTTCAGCAGCAGCGCTACCTCTGCGATGGCAATGGACCATGACTCCTGGCTGAGTGTCCGCCACCTCCAGGTATCGGACGGTCGGGCGTTGGCTCATCCGCGTCGTCGTCTCCTGTGGTGAAGAAACGTCGTTCATGTGACAAACCGTTCAAGTACAAAAAAAAGGTTCATGTGAAAAACCCTTAAAATTAAGAACCGTCCGCATAAAACACGTTTATGTGAATAACCCGTTGTTTGCGTGAAGAGCCGTTCGAGTTAAAAAAACGTTCAAGGTTAGAACCATTTTTGTGAAGATCCGTTCACATGGTAAAAACACCGACAGAAATCAATCCACGGGTTGCAATGCTAATGCTGATGTGTGAAGAACGGTACGGGGCAGTGCCATGCTAGGTGCACCTTGATGCCAATGGGCAGTTGGAGGCAGTCACCTTCCAGCAACAGCGGAGGGCAGAGGAGCGACTCACAACAAGCGAAGCACCGGGCAGATACAGTCCAGAGAGTATGAACAATGGGGAGCACAGGTGATATACATCTGCCCGTCATCTCAGTCAACCCATGGCACTTCAATCTGTCCCTTGACCTCCTGCACCTAGCCTGGCACAGCAGTCAACCCATGGCGCCTGCTGGGTCTGTCCTGTGACTTCCTCCTACGCCTAGCCTGCCACAGCAGTAAACCCATGGCGCCTGCTGGGTCTGTCACGTGACTTCCTCCTCCTACACCTAGCCTGGCACAGCAGTCAACCCATGGCGCCTGCTGGGTCTGTCCTGTGACTTCCTCCTCCTGCACCTAGCCTGGCACAGCAGTCAACCCATGGCGCCTGCTGGGTCTGTCACGTGACTTCCTCCTACACCTAGCCTGGCACAGCAGTCAACCCATGGCGCCTGCTGGGTCTATCCCGTGACTTCCTCCTACACCTAGCCTGGCACAGCAGTAAACCCATGGTACCTGGATCTGTCCCGTCACTTCCTCCTCCTGCACCTAGCCTGGCACAGCAGTCAACCCATGGTACCTGGATCTGTCCCGTCACTTCCTCCTCCTACACCTAGCCTGGCACAGCAGTCAACCAATGGTACCTGGGTCTGTCCAGTGACTTCCTCCTCCTACACCTAGCCTGGCACAGCAGTAAACCCATGGTACCTGGGTCTGTCCCGTGACTTCCTCCTCCTACACCTAGCCTGGCACAGCAGTAAACCCATGGCACATGGGTCTGTCCCGTGACTTCCTCCTCCTACACCTAGCCTGGCACAGCAGTCAACCCATGGTACCTGTGTCTGTCCCGTGACTTCCTCCTCCTACACCTAGCCTGGCACAGCAGTCAACCCATGGTACCTGGGTCTGTCCCGTGACTTCCTCCTCCTACACCTAGCCTGGCACAGCAGTCAACCCATGGTACCTGGGTCTGTCCCGTGACTTGCTCCTCCTACACCTAGCCTGGCACAGCAGTCAACCCATGGCGCCTGCTGGGTCTGTCCTGTGAATTCCTCCTCCTACGCCTAGCCTGGCACAGCAGTCAACCCATGGCGCCTGCTGGGTCTGTGCCGTGACTTCCTCCTCCTACACCTAGCCTGGCACAGCAGTCAACCCATTTTACCTGGATCTGTCCCGTGACTTCCTCCTCCTACACCTAGCCTGGCACAGCAGTCAACCCATGGCGCCTGCTGGGTCTGTCCTGTGACTTCCTCCTCCTGCACCTAGCCTGGCACAGCAGTCAACCCATGGCGCCTGCTGGGTCTGTCACGTGACTTCCTCCTACACCTAGCCTTGCACAGCAGTCAACCCATGGCGCCTGCTGGGTCTATCCCGTGACTTCCTCCTACACCTAGCCTGGCACAGCAGTAAACCCATGGTACCTGGATCTGTCCCGTCACTTCCTCCTCTTACACCTAGCCTGGCACAGCAGTCAACCCATGGTACCTGGGTCTGTCCAGTGACTTCCTCCTCCTACACCTAGCCTGGCAAGGCAGTAAACCCATGGCACATGGGTCTGTCCCGTGACTTCCTCCTCCTACACCTAGCCTGGCACAGCAGTCAACCCATGGTACCTGGGTCTGTCCCGTGACTTCCTCCACCTACACCTAGCCTGGCACAGCAGTAAACCCATGGTACCTGGGTCTGTCCCGTGACTTCCTCCTCCTACACCTAGCCTGGCACAGCAGTAAACCCATGGCACATGGGTCTGTCCCGTGACTTCCTCCTCCTACACCTAGCCTGGCACAGCAGTCAACCCATGGTACCTGGGTCTGTCCCGTGACTTCCTCCTCCTACACCTAGCCTGGCACAGCAGTCAACCCATGGTACCTGGGTCTGTCCCGTGACTTCCTCCTCCTACACCTAGCCTGGCACAGCAGTCAACCAATGGTACCTGGGTCTGTCCCGTGACTTCCTCCTCCTACACCTAGCCTGGCACAGCAGTCAACCCATGGTACCTGGGTCTGTCCCGTGACTTCCTCCTCCTACACCTAGCCTGGCACAGCAGTCAACCCATGGCGCCTGCTGGGTCTATCCCGTGACTTCCTCCTACACCTAGCCTGGCACAGCAGTCAACCCATGGTACCTGGGTCTGTCCCGTGACTTCCTCCTCCTACACCTAGCCTGGCACAGCAGTCAACCCATGGTACCTGGGTCTGTCCCGTGACTTGCTCCTCCTACACCTAGCCTGGCACAGCAGTCAACCCATGGCGCCTGCTGGGTCTGTCCTGTGAATTCCTCCTCCTACGCCTAGCCTGGCACAGCAGTCAACCCATGGCGCCTGCTGGGTCTGTCATGTGACTTCCTCCTACACCTAGCCTGGCACAGCAGTCAACCCATGGCGCCTGCTGGGTCTATCCCGTGACTTCCTCCTACACCTAGCCTGGCACAGCAGTAAACCCATGGTACCTGGGTCTGTCCAGTGAATTCCTCCTCCTACACCTAGCCTGGCACAGCAGTAAACTCATGGCACATGGGTCTGTCTCGTGACTTCCTCCTCCTACACCTAGCCTGGCACAGCAGTCAACCCATGGTACCTGGGTCTGTGCCGTGACTTCCTCCTCCTACACCTAGCCTGGCACAGCAGTAAACCCATGGTACCTGGGTCTGTCCCGTGACTTCTTCCTCCTACACCTAGCCTGGCACAGCAGTAAACCCATGGTACCTGGGTCTGTCCCGTGACTTCCTCCTCCTACACCTAGCCTGGCACAGCAGTAAACCCATGGCACATGGGTCTGTCCTGTGACTTCCTCCTCCTACACCTAGCCTGGCACAGCAGTCAACCCATGGTACCTGGGTCTGTCCCGTGACTTCCTCCTCCTACACCTAGCCTGGCACAGCAGTCAACCCATGGTACCTGGGTCTGTCCCGTGACTTCCTCCTCCTATACCTAGCCTGGCACAGCAGTCAACCCATGGTACCTGGGTCTGTCCCGTGACTTCCTCCTCCTACACCTAGCCTGGCACAGCAGTCAACCCATTTTACCTGGATCTGTCCCGTGACTTCCTCCTCCTACACCTAGCCTGGCACAGCAGTCAACCCATGGCGCCTGCTGGGTCTGTCACGTGACTTCCTCCTACACCTAGCCTGGCACAGCAGTCAACCCATGGCGCCTGCTGGGTCTATCCCGTGACTTCCTCCTACACCTAGCCTGGCACAGCAGTAAACCCATGGTACCTGGATCTGTCCCATCACTTCCTCCTCCTACACCTAGCCTGGCACAGCAGTCAACCCATGGTACCGTGGTCTGTCCAGTGACTTCCTCCTCCTACACCTAGCCTGGCACAGCAGTAAACTCATGGCACATGGGTCTGTCCCGTGACTTCCTCCCACACCTAGCCTGGCACAGCAGTCAACCCATGGTACCTGGGTCTGTGCCGTGACCTCCTCCTACACCTAGCCTGGCACAGAAGTAAGCCCATGGTACCTGGGTCTGTCCCGTGACTTCTTCCTCCTACACCTAGCCTGGCACAGCAGTAAACCTATGGTACCTTGGTCTGTCCCGTGACTTCCTCCTCCTACACCTAGCCTGGCACAGCAGTCAACCCATGGTACCTGGGTCTGTCCCGTGACTTCCTCCTCCTACACCTAGCCTGGCACAGCAGTAAACCCATGGTACCTGGGTCTGTCCCGTGACTTCCTCCTCCTACACCTAGCCTGGCACAGCAGTCAACCCATGGTACCTGGGTCTGTCCCGTGACTTCCTCCTCCTACACCTAGCCTGGCACAGCAGTCAACCCATGGTACCTGGGTCTGTCCCGTGACTTCCTCCTCCTACACCTAGCCTGGCACAGCAGTCAACCCATGGTACCTGTGTCTGTCCCGTGACTTCCTCCTCCTACACCTAGCCTGGCACAGCAGTCAACCCATGGTACCTGGGTCTGTCCCGTGACTTCCTCCTCCTACACCTAGCCTGGCACAGCAGTCAACCCATGGTACCTGGGTCTGTCCCGTGACTTCCTCCTCCTACACCTAGCCTGGCACAGCAGTCAACCCATGGTACCTGGGTCTGTCCCGTGACTTCCTCCACCTACACCTAGCCTGGCACAGCAGTAAACCCATGGTACCTGGGTCTGTCCCGTGACTTCCTCCTCCTACACCTAGCCTGGCACAGCAGTAAACCCATGGCACATGGGTCTGTCCCGTGACTTCCTCCTCCTACACCTAGCCTGGCACAGCAGTCAACCCATGGTACCTGGGTCTGTCCCGTGACTTCCTCCTCCTACACCTAGCCTGGCACAGCAGTCAACCCATGGTACCTGGGTCTGTCCCATGACTTCCTCCTCCTACACCTAGCCTGGCACAGCAGTCAACCCATGGTACCTGGGTCTGTCCCGTGACTTCCTCCTCCTACACCTAGCCTGGCACAGCAGTCAACCCATGGTACCTGGGTCTGTCCCGTGACTTCCTCCTCCTACACCTAGCCTGGCACAGCAGTCAACCCATGGCGCCTGCTGGGTCTATCCCGTGACTTCCTCCTACACCTAGCCTGGCACAGCAGTCAACCCATGGTACCTGGGTCTGTCCCGTGACTTCCTCCTCCTACACCTAGCCTGGCACAGCAGTCAACCCATGGTACCTGGGTCTGTCCCGTGACTTGCTCCTCCTACACCTAGCCTGGCACAGCAGTCAACCCATGGCGC